AGTGAAGGCAGGCCCAGACAGCTGGATGTTCCAACTCTTTTCCCACCTAGTAGCATGTCCTCATTCATTCATTACTCCTCTCTCAAACACACAGACTTGTTTTCTAGCTTGGCCCCTTTCTTCTCTCTCATCCTTCCCTTCAGGATTGAACCTGAAGCTATAGGCAAGTATGAGGTCACTGTGGAAGGACACAGAAGGTCCAAGATCAATCCTTGAGGGACTCTTATCATTGAAAGAGCAAAATGAAGAAATTGGCTACATAGGTGCTGAGGAGGAAACAAGAAAGGGCTGCGTCACAGGCCAAGGGAGAGATCAGAGTGAGGCCACCAGGGTCCCTGCTTCCCAAGAGACATGGAAATGGAGGCCGAGTTGCCTGCTGAGTAACCACAAGGAAGTCATTGTTGGCCTTAGCAATATCTGTCTTTGGTAGGGACCTGTTCCAGATGGCAGTGGCTAGAAGGAACAAGCAATCTGAGGTCAAAAACTTTCTGAGGGATTTATTTATTTATTTATTTTTTATTTATTTTTTTTTAAAGAGAGAGTGTGAGAGAGAAGGAGAAGAGAGAGAGAGAGAATTTTTCAATATTTATTTTCTAGTTTTCGGCGGACACAACATCTTTGTTTGTATGTGGTGCTGAGGATCGAACCCGGGCCGCACGCATGCCAGGCGAGCTCGCTACCGCTTGAGCCACATCCCCAGCCCCTTTCTGAGGAATTTAACCATAATGGAGAGGAAGGAGAGCTTGAGAGTTAGAGGAATATGTGGAGTGGTTTTTATGAAGGCAAAGGCTTCAGCAGATTTGATTGCCAACCGGAAGGACATTGACTTTTGGGTCATGTCTAAATCCTGTAACGGAAGCAGAAGATACAAAGGGGAGGAAATGGCAGTGGAACCCTCCTTACAGCAAGGAATGGGAGGCTGGACCCAGAGCACAGGGAGGGAGGGCCTGGGAGGGGAAAGGGACAGTCCCTCAGATATTGCAAAGTGGAAGAGAGTTCATGCAGTGGTGTTCTGGTGAATGTTTAACAACCAAATCTAGGGCCAGGGGGTGGGGTGGGGAGCTCTTTATAGTGTTTATGATAATGGGATAAGTACTCTCCATGGCCAGTTTGAGCCTACCAACCTGACTTCACTAATGCAGGGGTGGGTGGAGATTTTCATAACTCTCACTAGCTAGTCCAAGTCAACTAGGGTCCAGAACCCTGTAATGGTGCCCATATGAAGGGACAGGGCCCAGCTGATAGGGTCCTGAGTGAAGGTAGGCCCAGGCAGCTGGATGTTCCAATTCTTTTCTCACCTGATAGCATGTCCTCATTCATTCATTACTCCTCTCTCAAACAGTCTCTCAGTCTCGTTTTGTAGCTTGGCCTCTTCTCTCTCATCATTCCCTTCTGCTCTGTGCTGGCTGCTGGCTCAGTGTAGATGAGAAGACATCTTTAGGAGCTTGTGGACAAACGGGGAAAATTTCTTCTCCAGACTTTCAACTTGGTGCCCAGAAATCCAGTGGGGTGACACCTGCTCCCTGATACCAGCACCAGCTAGTGAGGCAGAGGCAAAGGGAGGTGCCAGGCAGCTTCTTGAACACTGGGAGGGCAGCAGGGACAACAAGGGCATTCCTGGCGAAAGAAGGGCAGTTTGGGGCAAAGCTGGTGAGGTGCTTTAGTATGACTGGGCTCAGGTGCCAAAGGGTGTGGTTTGGGAGCAAATGAAGCTGAAGAGGAAGCAGGGCCCAGACCCCAATTGGCTTAGCAGATCCAAAGAGAAGTTCAGGGCTGGGATTATGGCTCAGCGGTAGAGCGCTCACCTAGCATGGTCGGTCGGGACCCGGGTTTGATCCTCAGCACCACATAAAAATAAAGGCATTGTGTTGTGTCCAAAGAGAAGTTCAACTGCATGCCAAGATGACCAGGAGCCACTGAAGGCTTTAGAACAGAGGAATGATATGGTCAGATCTGCATTTCAGGAAGATCACACTGGCCTGGAGGAGGTCTAGGTTGTGGGTGGAGATGAGCTGGTAGGGAGGCTGCAGCCAGGTTGGAGGGTGATTAATGGTGGCCCAGGCTGCAGAAACAGTGTGGAGAGGAAGATAAATTCAGCTGGTTTTTTTTTTTTTGGCTTGGCTTGGGGGGGCTGGGGGTACTTGGAATTTAACCTAGGGTGCTTTTTCACATTTCTAGCCTTATTTATTTATTTATTTTTATTCTGAGACAGGGTCTCACTAATTTGCTTAGGGCCTCACTAAATTGCTGGGGCCGGTCTCAAACTTGTGATCCTTCTGCCTCAGCTTCCTGAGTGGCTGGGATTACAGTTGTGGTGGTCCACAAACCTGGCCCTGTTTGTTTTTTATTTTGAGACAGGGTCTTGCTAAATTACCAATATTGACCTTGAATTTGGGATTTTCCTGCTTCAGCCTTCTGAGTTTCTGGGGTTACAGGCTCAGGTGGCATTTTACTGAGTACTCAGTCTGATGGGTCTTTGATTTGTATTACCTCCTGGAACTCTCTAGAAAATCTTGGAAGTATATACTATTTTTCTTTATTTTTTGGTACCAGAGATTGATCACAGGTGCACTTAAACACTGAGCCACATCCCCAGTACTTTTAAAAAAAAATGTTTATTTTGAGAAAGGGTCTCACTAAGTTGCTTAAGACCTTGCTAAGTTGCTGGGGCTGGCTTTAAACTTGTGACCCACTTGCCTCAGTCTCTTGAGCTGCTGGGATTATAGTTGTGCACCACCACACCCAGCTCTGGTATATATTGTTATTGTTTTCACATTAGAGGCTCAGAGAGATTGAGGGACATGGTGACACAGTGTAAAAATGACAAGAGCGAACTTAAGAGCAATTCCTTTTTAAAAAAAATAATTTTTAAAATATTTATTTTTTAAGTTTTAGTGGAAACAATATCTTTATTTTATATTTTTGTGGTGCTGAAGATCAAACCCAGTGCCCCGTGCATGCCAGGCAAGTACTCTACCACTGAGCCACAACTCCAGCCCCCTGCGGCAATTCCTTTTACCCTCTTGCATGATAAGATGAGTGGTGAGACTAAAAGAAGCTGAGTAGGGGCTAGTGAAGAGGAATTTAGTTTGGACATGATGTTGGGAGAGTCTTAGTGACAATCAAGCAGAGATGTCCCCTGCAGAGAGAGAGACATTCTTTCAGGGCCTGTTGTTCCAGGGAGAGGCCATACTGGTAGTAGGGATTTGGGGATCAAGAACACAACAAAGGGGTCTGAGGTTGTAGCTCAGTGGTAGTGCACTTGCCTAGCACGTGTGAGGCACTGGGTTTAATTCTCAGCACCACATATAAATAAATAAATAAAAGTCCATTAACAACTAAAAAAAAAAAAAAAAAACCCACAGCAAAGTGCTGGAAGCTATGGGCCTAGATAGGCTGGGCCAGGGAGCATATAGAAAGTGAGGAGGGAAAGGAGCCCTGAGGAGCCCCAACTTAGGGAGCTGAGACAAAGCAGCTAAGGGAGCAGCCTAGGTAGGGGAGAAGCGGTTGAGAAAGGCAGGGGCCTCAGCACAGGGAAGGGAGGCCTCAACAATATAGGGGCATTGGGGTGGGGGACATGGGCAGGCTGCATGTTGCAGAGGTTGGGTTGAGAACAGCTCATTAGATCCAGAGAACAGGGCCCATTACTCAGGCCTTGCTAGAGCAATTCTCATGGAGCACAGGGCAGGAGCTGGAAGGACAGAGTAAGGACCAAGAAGAAAGAACAAGTTGGGATTCTCGTTTCCAAAGCTTTGCTGTAAAATCCAGGGGGAGAGCAAGCAAAAGTGTTGCGGGCTTAGTGTTGAGAAAGAACTTCCTTTAGCACATCCTAAAATTGTCCATTTACAACCATGACTTCAGTCAATTCCTAGAGCTTCAGGAACTGAGTCCTACAGAGAACTTACAAAGCATAGCAAAACTTTAGCTATGCAGGGCTGCAGGTGCAATTCAGAGGTAGAGTTCATGTCTAGCATGCATGTGGCCCTGGGCTCCAGCATGAAGGAAAAAAATTATGGTTCTTAGCTACTCAGGAGTCTAAGTGGGAGAATCACAAGTTCAAAGCCAGCTTAGGACAATTAGACCCTGCCTCAAAGTAAAATGGGCTGGGGAGATGGCTCGGTGGTAGAGGTAAAGCACTGCTTAGTATGTCCAAGGTCCTGGGTTTAATCCCCAGTACCACAAAAGGAAAAGAAGAAACAAAGAAAGAAAGAAACTTCAGCTATCCAGAATTCTTGGCTAATGAATCACTCTGGAAAATCAACCTTTATTTGAACAAAAATACTTGAGGGGCATGTGTGAGGCACTGGTCGATTCTCAGTACCACATATAAATAAATAAAATAAAGGTCCATTGACAACTAAAAGAAAAAATTTTTAAAAATACTCAAGGACTGGGGTTGTGGCTCAGTAGTAGAGTGCTTGCCTCACATGTGTGAGGCACTGGATTTGATTCTCAGCATCACATATAAATAAATGAATAAAATAAAGGATCATCAATAACTAAAGAAATATTAAAATACTCAAACTATAGGGTTTCCTTACCTTCTAAAAAATTCTTTTTAATCAATCACAGAAATAGTCAAAAAAAGTAGGCTCGGGGTGTAGTTCAGTGATAAAGTGAGTGCTTAGCATTTGTGAGGGCCTGCCTAGGTTCCATCACCAGCACCACAAAAAGAAATAGAAAGTAGACAGAACAGTATAATAAACCTCAAATTCCTATCATTTAGCTTCAACAGTTATCAACTCAAGGTCAATTTTTTCTTGTCTACACTTCACTTGCTCTTCTCAGACTCTGTAATATCAATCCCAGACATTATATGAATCTATTCATAAATCTTTAGAATGTTTCTCCAAAGGATAAAATACATTTTTTTTTTTTTAGTAGTAGGGACTGAATCCAGGGTCTCATGAATGCTAAGCGAGTGTTCTACCACTGAGCTAAGCTCCAGCCCTTTTCTTTTTTTTTTTTTAAATATTGAAACAGGGTCTAAGTTGCCCAGGCTGACTCTCTAGCCCTCTTTTTGCCTCAGCCTCCCAAGAAGCTGAGATGATAGGTATGCACCACAGAGCCTGGCTGAGACAAAAGATATTTTAAAAATATAAGCACAGCCCACGACAGTGGTGCATGCCTATAATCTCAGCAACTCAGGAGGCTGGGGTAGGAGGATCCCAAGTTCAAAGCCAGCAACTTAGTGAGGCCCTGTCTCAAAATAAAAAGGGTTGGAGATATGGCTCAGTATTTAAGCACCCCTTGGTTCAATCCCCAGTAACAACAACAATAACAAAATACCATATTATTCCAAAATTTAATGATAATTGCATAACATAATCAAATGTCCATTGTCCAGTTTACCCAATTGTCTTATTTTTTTTCCAGTTGGTGGATTAAGATCAGGCTTCAAACAAGGTGTATCTATACACTGCATTTATTTGCTTAGTCTCTTAAGCATCCCTTTCTTTTTCCAGGCACCAGGGTGCAGGGCAGGGTAAGCTTTTGGGCTGAAGAGTGCAGGGAGGTGGATAGATGGTCAGAGTCAGGACATCCATGTGCGATTACAGAGATAGGGTACAGAGGATGGTCTCTCCAACAGGGAGGAGAGGCCAGGGCTGCTGAAAGGTGGGGCTTGTCTTTGTGCATCCCTGAGCAACCCCTTCCACCAGCTGCTGGGGCTAAAGGAAGGTGAAAATACGTCCCAAGCTGAGAAGCAGGGACAGGGCTCAGGTTGGCAGGGGTCAGCTGCCCTTTCCACAGGCTGGAGGTGAGGGAGGGCTGGGGCCTGAGATCAGGCCTAGAAGGAACAGGATGTCTCTGTTGGGGAGGGAGGAAGAAGACAGCGCCAAAACCCAGGTCCTGGCCAGTCCCCAGCTCCACCCTACCTGGCCTTGGCCCAGGAGGGCCTCCCTGGCCTCCTAGCTATCATCCACCCTGGCACCCGGACACTGGCTCCCTTCACGATGCTGAGGGTCCATGGTCCAGATCGTTTGCTCTGCCTTCTATTCCTGCTCCTGGCCCCCCACAGCGCTGAGGGGGACCGTCTTCCTTGGCGCAGGTTTGAGTACAAGCTCAGCTTCAAAGGCCCAAGGCTGGCATTGCCTGGGGCTGGAATACCCTTCTGGAGCCATCATGGAGGTGAGGGGAAGAGGTGGGGAGCAGCCACACCCGGGGTCCCTCAGAGTGCTGGAGCTGGGACTAGATGGGGAGGGTCTGCCAATGCCTCTGTCTAGGGTAGGGCCTGGCTGGTGTAGACAGCGCTGGGGTCCCAGGACCACTCCCAGGCTGGTTTCCTGCTCTGCCCACTATAATTCCATTCCTACCCAGCAGCCTCAGTTTCTCCTCTCTGCCTTCCCTACCCTAGGACCACTCTCTGCTTTGTCTCTCCTTAGATCCCTCATCTTCCTTTGCCTCTCGGAAGGACGGTAAATACACATGAACTCTCTCTCCTCTCTCCCTCTCCTCTTCCTCTCCCTCTCCCTCTCCCTCTCCCTTCTCTCTCCCTCTTCTCTCTCTCCCTCTTCTCTCCCTCTCCCAATTCTCTCCCTCTCCCTCTTCCTCTCCCTCTTCCTCTCCCTCTCCTTCTCCCTCTCACACACACATACACACACTCTAAGTCCCAGACACACAGAAACAAATTACCTTGGACCAGCACAAGCTTACAGTCTAGGATTCATCTTGGTGGGTCATGGCTGTCCACAAGAACAGGGAGGCTACCTGGAGGGAGGCATCTTCATGTCCAGCTGTTTTGCCACAGCAGGCACCAGCCCTTCCTTGTATGTGTGTTGGGGATAGAATCAAACCTGAAAGCATCTTACTCTACAGGTCTGTATATAAGGCCCTCCAAACCCAGAACTGTTACAAAGAATCTATCTTCTACCTGATTTTGTTCTCAAAAAAGTTTGTGATGACTAAGAATTATAAAATACAAAGGAGCTTAATTTAGGAATAAGTAAGAAAGACACCTGCAATGAAAATGGGGCAGGAAATAAGTCCAGCAATGTGGCTTTCTTCCAAAACATATGCCATGAGATTTGTTTAACCATTGATTTAGTTCAGAGCTTCCTGGCAGGCAAAGCAAAGAGAGCAAGCAGATGGCCTCTGTATTACTATCTATGAGATGTAAGTTTTGGAAAATGGCCCACTTGCTGACTGAGGCCCTTAAAGACGATAAAACCTGCTAGTAGGGTCTTTGTTCTAATCTTCTCACAGAGGAACGGGAGGTAAACATATGAGTGGGCTCTTTCTCTCAGCACCAAGCCAGGCTCTGCCTCAGGGTCAGGATGTCAGGGCAGGTACAATGCTCATTGTTCTGGGCCTTTCCAAGTGTCACAGACTGTGCAGGGTAGCAGAGGCCCATTTTATGAAATTACCCAGTGATATACTTGTGGCTTCTTCATTCATTCATTCACCTTTTATGGAACCCCCACTCCCATGCTCCTCTGTGTCCAGCCCGGTCAGGCTCAAGGAGCCCATGGTCTATGGCAAGGTCCACAGACACTCCACAGAAGGCTGAGCATGTAAGTGTAGCAGTTAGCAGACAACCCTGGTCTCCTGCAAGTCACTTCAAGGTGGCAGCAGCTTCCAGGGGCCCTGGGACTTGCAGCCTTGCTGTGTCTGAGCCTCCCTGCCCCCATCCCTGGCCATTGCAGAGCAAACAGGCTGGATTAGCAGCCTTTGGAAAGTCCTGGCAGGGTCTGGGCCCTGGGCCAGGTTCCAGGCTGGCAGGCCGGAGGGCTGGGGAGCCAGCTGGAGTGGGGACTCTGACTTCCCTTCCCCTGGTTCTTACCAAGTCTCTCAGTGTCTCTCCTTTTTCTGCTCTCCTACTATGTAGGTCCCCACCAACACCAGGGATGGTTCTCACACTAGCTCCATCCTTCTCCCCCCACTGTCCTGAGGGCCAGCAGCTACCTCTGCCCACCCCTCCTGCTTTCAAGCCTTCCTCATCTTGGAAGGAACCAGGTCTCCCTGCAACACACACAATGAAGCCCCATTCAGCCACACTCGAGTGTCCTCTGAGCTTCCACAACCTGCAATCCTGAGCCTCCTGGGGCTACTCTCTCACAAGTTGCTCTCCTGTGCTCTGTGGTTTCAAGCTGTCCCCTTGCCCTCACAAGTCCTTAATCTCCTAATCTGACAACACGAATCTCTCTCATGGCAGTAAAATGTTATACTTTGAAGTCAGATTGAAATGAATTCCAATTCACTTAGTTCCTTGACTTTTCTGAGCCTCCGTTTTCTCATTGGTAAATGGAGTCTCATCAAAACAGATAACACAGGCTGAAGTGAGGCTGAAGTGAGAACACAGGCAGCTTTCCCACCGGGACACTGTCCCCTCCTGTGCTGGGTTGTAGATCTCCCTTCTTCAATTGGCTCCTGCATGGGTCAAACGGGCCCCTGATTTCTTTTTTAATATATATATTTCTTAGTTATGTATGGACTCAATGCCTTTATTTGTTTTCATGTGGTGCTAGGATTGAGGCAAGTGCTCTACCACTGAGCCACGACCCCAGCCCCAATGGGCTCCTGACTTATAGCAGGTCAGGTGTGACCTCCTTCTCCTCCTAGGGCCTGGCTCCAGCCAATAAGACAGGAAGTTGGGGATTGAGAGAGTAGTGGGCCCTGGCCCTTGAGCTTCCCTGCTCCACAGACACCATCCTGGGCCTGGAGGAAGTACGCCTAGTGCCATCCATTAGGAACCAGAAGGGCGCGGTGTGGAGCGAGACTTCTGTCCTCTTCCCTGCTTGGGAGGTGGAGATGCAGATGAGGGTGACTGGGCCCGGGCACCGGGGAGCCCAGGGCATGGTGAGTAGCCACCACCCAGGCCTAACAGAGTGGGTGAGTCAGGGAGGAGGGGGATGAGCCCTGGGTTCCAGTGTTCTTCAGAGACCCTGAGCTGAGGGTCTGGGGACCTGCAGGCTGTATGGTATACCCAGAACAGGGGCCAAGTTGGCTCTGTCTTTGGGGGGCTGGCCTCATGGGACGGCATCGGGATCTTCTTTGACTCCTCGGCCGAGGATACCCAGGTGAGTAGCGCTCTCCTGCCTGCCCATTCCCTTGCCCTCCTTCCTGTGCCCAGGGCTCAGGCTGATTGTCACTCCCATGCAGGACAGCCCTGCAATCCGTGTGGTGGCCAGCGATGGGTACGTCCCTTCTGAGCAGCTTGGGTAAGGGTCTGTGGGGACTGACCTGCCCCTACCCTGGGCTGTGAGGGCTCAGCCCTTGCCCTAGGGAGCCGGCCCCCCCTCCCCCGCTAGAGCTGCTACCATGCTGGCTCTCTCACTCTGAGCCCACAGCTGCCTCCTGGGACACCTCTCACTGGGTGTCAGCTGTGCCTGCAGCAGCCCCAGAACCAGAATACTTGCTCTTCCTGGGAACTGCCCCACGGAGTTCTCAAGTAATTCAACCCAACAGTCCTAAGTGAAATTCCTAGTCCCCAATCCCCTTGTTAAGTGGGGATTGTTAAGTGAGGACACAGAGGCCCAGAGAGGTGAAATGACTTACTGAGGTCACACAGCTGTGTGCAGAGCTGAGACTGGAGTCCTGACTTGCCCATGGAGGGTCCACGCCCTTCCCTGAACCAGTTGAGTCTTCCCTTTCTCCAGGATGACGTGGCTTGCTGACCTCCGTGGCCCAGCTGCTCCTCAGTGGCTGGGCCGGTTTGTCGGTGTCTCTTAGCAAACATCCCTCCACTCATAACAATTAGAATAATTGCTAACATTTGTGGAGCTGAGTTTACTGTACAGGCACAGTGCCCAAGCACTTGACATTCATTCTTAGTTACCTTCATAGCCCGTTGTTATGAGGTAATGGCAATTATCCTCTTCATTTTAAATACGGGAATGCCCCAGGCATGGGGAGGTGAGGTAACTTGCCCAAGGTCACATAGCTAGGAGTGCAGACTCAGGGAGCTGCTCTGGGCCTGCTTCTCCCTGGCTCTGTGCTGCTTCCCTCTCCCACGAAGGTGACAATGACATGCTCTGGTGTGAGCTGCCACAGTGTCTGTGCACCCATGTGCCCAGAGGAACTCAGGGCTCATCACTCTTCTCCTAACTCTCCAGAGCCTGTCACCCCTGTTGGGAAATGAACTGGTCATATTGTCCTTGGCTATTAGGACATGTGCCAAGCTATCAGTCCCGCTCGGTCCAAGCCTTGGTAGAAGAGAGGAAAAAGAAGCATCCCCAGAGTCATGGGGAGACTTGGAGTTTAAAGGAGAAAGGGACAGTGAGATGAGGTGGTGGGGTGCAAGTGACAGAAACCTTCTGGGGAAAGGCCACAGGGAGGCCCCAGCCTCCTCTGTAAACTCCAAGTCCCAATATTCTGCCAGGTGAAGCCTGCTTTCCTATCCCTCTTTCTTATGCTAAGGAGGCAGAGTACAGCAAGGGAGACTCAAGTCTCATACCAGGCCACCCCACTGGGAAGGGGGTGTCACCACAAGCCTCAGCAGAGTGACTACTGGAGTGCCCTCATTGGCTGGGCCTAGGGTCTTATGTGGCCTGGCTAGATTCCAGCTCTCATAGGGATGGAGCAAGTCACCAGGTACTGGGCTCCTGTCACCGAGATTTCCGGAACCGGCCATATCCCATCAGAACACGGATCACCTACTGGAGGCAGAGGCTGCGTGTGAGTCACCCTCCTGCTTCTAGGGGTCCTTTGCTGGCAGATTACAGAGCTCCAAGCTACACAGTTGCCGTGGGGGTGCCCATGGCCCCAACAGACTCATGTCTGTGATACCACAAAGGGTATCAGAGACAAAGGGTCCCTCCACTCACGTGGCATTCCTGGCACATCCCATGTGGGATCCTCCACCTGCATACAGAATCCTAGCAGTCACCCAGAGAACAAGCGTATAGTGTTCACATGAAACCAGAGTGCAGGTCACCTTCATGTCATTTAGATCCCAAGCACTTGGCTGTCTGTCCTTCTTCAGGACCAGGGGAGCCAGAGAGTCAGAGGTGGGGATGATCCCCCACTGCTGGGTAAGGCGACAAGAAGAAGCTCATGCCCTCTATGCCCTTCAGGTGTCTTTGAGCACTGGTCTCACTCCCAGTGACCCAGATGAGGTCTGTGTCGATGTGGGGTCCGTGCTTTTGGCTCCTGGAGGTTTCTTTGGGGTCTCAGCAGCCACCAGCACCCTGGCAGGTGAGGACCTCTCTGGGCAGGTAAGCGCCGAGGCGCAGTGTTCGTTTTTTTTGTGGGTAGTGCTGGGGTGGAGCCCAGGGCCTTGTTGTGCTAGGGAAGTGCTCTGCCACAAGTGCTCTGCCACTGAGCCCCGGCTCTCGCCTAGGGACCCTGTGAAATGACTCATCCTTAGCATCCCTTCTAAAGAGCTCTGTGTGTGGGGTCAACCACTTCCTCACCATGTGACCTGAGCAAGTCACGAGCCCTTTCTGGGTCTCTATTACCATCTGGAGAAGGTCACATCTGCCTTGCAGGGTTACTGAAACTCTCAAATGTGATAAAACGTGAGAAGTTTTATTCCAGTATTGCCCCTCCCCCATGCAATGCGGCAGGTGAAAGGAGGATAGTGGCTACAGGGGACATTTAGGGAAATAGAGCAGAGGGAGGTGATGCAGGGGGGAGCCCATGAGGGGTCTGCAGCTGGAAAGCAGGCTGGGATTAGAGCATGGCAGTCCTTGAATGGCAGGACTTTGGTCTTTATTTTATTATTTTATTTTGGTACCGGATTGAACCCAGGGGTGCTTAACCCCTGAGCCACACCCCCAGCCCTTTTTTGAATTTTATTAAGAGACAGGGTCTTGCTAAGTTGCTTAGGGCCTTGCTAAGTTGCTGAGACTGGCTTTGAGCTCAGGACCCTCCTGCCTCAGCCTTCCAAGATGCTGGGATTGTAGGTGTGCACCACCGCACCCAGTAGGACTTTGGTCTTTAGACTGGGCACTGGGGATCCCTGGAAGGTTTCTGAGGAGGAGAGTGATATGATCCAAGCCATGGTGGGGAAGCAGCCTCTGTAGGATGCTGTTGCCAAAAGCAACTGTGCTCTGGGATGGGAGGGTGTCCCTTGGCCTGCTGCCATGGCTCCAGCCCTGGATGCTTTGTGATTGTCCAGTATTCCCACGCACAGGGGCCTAGCTGCGTGTGTGGTTCACCCTCACAGCCCACACATCTGCTTCCCTGGCTCTCACACCTTTTTTATGAAGTGAGCAAGACAAATGCCCAAAGTCACCCCGACCTCTTGCCTTCCTGGGATATAATGGAGCCTGGGGGCAGAGTGAGGTCTGGATGAGCAGGGTGCTGGATGGAGGGATCTTATGTCCCCTTCATCTATCCCCCTTCCAGATGACCATGATGTCCTGTCGTTCCTGACTTTCAGCCTGAACGAGCCGGGTCCAGAGGTGATACCAGCCCTGGCCTGCCTCCGAGAGGCAGCCCAGGGACCCACCCCTCCCCAGATGCTTTTGCCAGTCTCATCGTGTCCTTGGACTCACCATTTCAGCCCTTATCCTCACCTGTTCTCTTAATTCTGCTCAGGCCCCAAGCCTTGTGCTTGGCAGTGCTGGGGGTCAGGCTCTGTCTCCAGGCCTCCCAGGCTGGTGGGTGGAGTCAGGCTATGATATGAGAGAGCTCAGAGTGATCTGTGCTGGCTATCAAAAGGCACAGGGGGCACTGGGGTTGAGGCTCAGTGGTAGAGTGCTCACCTAGCGCATGTGAGGCACTGGGTTCCATCCTCAGCACACAGAAAAATAAAAAATAAATAAAATAAAGCTATGGAAAAAAGTTTAGTTAAAAAAAAAAAGGCACCAGGGCTGTGGCGAGCACAAAGGAGGGGTCTGAACTGCCTGAGGGTCAGGGAAGGCTGCCTGGAGGAGGGAGCTTAAAGGAACCCTACATGCACAGGCCTGAGGCTGCAGCAGGAAGGGAAGAGTGTGGGGTGTGGGGCTGGAGGTGGAGGCAGAGCTCAAAGGGCTAGAAAGAGCTGGCGAGGCTGAGCGAAGCCCCACCCCCAGGGTGGGGTGAATAGTTGGTCAGGGAGGGAAGCTGGGCTCATGCGGGATCCTGTGGGAAGGCTCTTTCCACTTTTGGCTCTCCCATAGGTTGAGGCTTGATCTCTGTCCTCCTCCTCCAGGTTCCCCCTCAGCCCTTCCTGGAGATGGAGCAGCTTCGTCTGGCAAGGCAGCTGGAAGGGCTGCAAGCCAAGCTGGCCCTGGGCAGCAGGGTGGTTATAATTCCACAGCCAAACTCAAAAGCCCAGGAAGAGGGTAGAGACCCAGGGAGTGGGCAGGAGGGGAAGTGGCCCATTTGAGTATCATGATCCTATGTCCTTAGAATCAGGAGTCCTTCAACCAGTGGGGAAATGGAGGTCTAAGGAAGCCATATCTAAGCCAAACGTGGACCCAGGTGTCCTGTCCTATCCTCTCCACCCAGAAATTCTCCAAGGAAGCAGCCATACCATTTGATGCTCCTCAAGTCCCTGAAGGTAGGGTCTTTTGCCCTACACCAATGGCCACCCACCCAGCTCTGCCCCATCCCCAGGGGAAAGGCTCTTTGACCTGGAGGAGACATTGGGCAGACACAACAAGATCCTGCAGGACCTCCAGGCTCTCTCTGAGCAGTTGGCCCAGGCAGAGATGCAATGGAAGAAGCAGCTGGGGTTCCTAGGCCAGGCAAGGCCTGATGGAGCCTGGGTGAGTAGCCCCTTGGGCATCCAAGTCTCCACCTGTGGTCCTAAAAGAGGAAAAGAGTTATAGTCAGGAACTAGTCTCCCCAAAAGTCTGGAGTGCAAAGAAGGCAGAGGTTAAAGACTGCAGGTCACAGGATGGGGCAGGCCAGCATTCACGACAAGCAAAAGCTCCAGAGCCACACAGCTTGGGCTGGGGAGAGGAGATGCCAGGAATTTGGATCCGGGTCTGTAGACAAATGACAGAAATAGACTAGGTGCTAATTTGCATGTAGCTTCACAAGTGACTTGCCTGTGGCTTGCTTAATGCTCAGTTGCATCAGAATCCTCCTTTCATCTTCACTGTCCCTCCAAGTTCCACCCCCAGGGATTCATGTCCCAGGTCACTGCCCAGTTTTGGGGGTTGAGAGCTAAACCCAGCCAACGCTTAGGTGCTTAGGTGCCTAGCAGAGGAGACCAGCAGCACTTTCAGGCTTTGCTGGGTTCTGAAGGGTCAAGATTTTAATCTTTTGTCCTCAGACCAGAGCAGATTAGGCTGGGCTGCTGGAGTGGGACAGCGGGGTGGGGGTTTACACCCTAGGGCCAGTTCTCTCTGATCCTACCTACAGTTCCTGAGAGATTCCATTCATCTCCCAAAAGGGCAGCCACCTCTCTAGGTCACTCTGCAGGACAGGGAACCAAGCCCTGGCTGTTAACTAGCACTGGCCTCCAGCTCGGGTCATGCCCTGGGAGAAGGGAAGGGAGAGAGGACTGGGCTGAACTTCAGGGAGGAAGAACCATTTTTAGAAATGGAAAGAGCTTGGGCTGGGATTGTGGCTCAGTGATAGAGTGCTTGCCTAGCACAGGCAGGCGGGATCCGGGTTCGATCCTCAGCACCGCATAAAAAAATAAAGGCATTGTGTTAAAAAAAAAGAAATTGGAAGAGCTTGATAAGGTCTAGGGGTGACCCTGTTGGTGGGAACAAGCCCCTTTAGGGAGAAGGGGCTTGAGATCAGGAGGGAAGATTTCAGAAGCCCAGGTGAACAGGAGTCAGGTAAACTCTACCTGCCCCAAATGAGAAGGGCCCTGGTAAACTGGTAAGGCCTCTGGAAGGAGGGGGGCTGCAGTGTCTCTGGGGAAGGTGGGCTTTGAGGGGAGGACAGCTGGGTCCGTGACCATAGATAAAAGGCTGGCCCTCCGCAGGATTCTGCCAAGATCAGCACCCTGCTCTATGGACAGCAGACTTTGCTCCAGGCCCTGCAAGAGATGAGGTAAGGTGGAGTAAGGGAGGAGCTGGAAGAGGGAAGAGAAGCCTCTCTACCAACTTTGTCTGTCTGCCTGCAGCTCCTCTCTGGGCCCTTCCTTCCTTTCATTATTTCCTGAACAACCAGCACAGAGTTTGGCAATGAGAGGGCCTGGGGCTGAAGTTATGTTAGCTGAGTTGACCTCAATTTAACTGAATGAAGTTTCAAGTTTTGAAAGTCCTAGTTTAAAAGCAACTATCCCTAGGAGAAGCCCATCATAAGGACGCCTTGAGACATTCCCACCCCAGCGAGGGTTAGTAACTGAGCTTTCCTCCAGTGATAGTTTGTGGAAGGAATGAATGTTTTGATGAACATTCTTGGAAGGAGCACAACCAAGATCAGACCAGCTGGAGACAATCCCTGAATTCATTTTTGCCCTTCTCCAGCCTGCTAGCATCCTACTCTGGAGCACTCAGGCCTGTGGAGCTACCCATAGACTCCTAAGAGTGGGGAGATCACCTGGATGCCATGGGTGCTCTCACCCCACATCCAGACACCTGGGGGGTGTATAGGGGAAGAGGGAAGAAGCTAAATTCCCTGGGGTCTGTAGGTGAAAGAAAGAGCCCAAGGAGCCTCAGGTTGAGAAAGACAGATTTAGGGAGAACTTGTCTGAGCTAGAGCTGGCTCAAGATCTAAGGAAAAGGTTTGGAGTAAAAAGACCAGTCCCCAAGAAAAGCCCCTATGAATGGTGTCTGTTCCCCACCTATTCACTACCCTGGGGATTGTGGGCAATGATTAGTTAATTTGGGTACAACCCGAAGGGGTAATGAGTCATTTCCTTGGTTTTCACTCCACACACACACCAGCAATGCAGCTGCTCACATGGCCTCAGGAGCCCAGGTCTTCTATCTGCCTGTGGGCACTGAACACCATTTCTTAGAGCTGGACCAGATCCTGAGCCTCCTGCATAAGAGTCTTCGGGACCCAGTGGTAAGGGAGAAGTAGTGGGTAGCATGGGGGCCCCAGCCCTGAGGTCCAGGCTCTGTCACCCTTCTTCCAACTCAACCACCAGAAGGGAAATGGGGTGGGTTGTGCCCAAGATCATTCAGAGTTTTATGGTAGAGGGGCTCTTTTCTGTGCCCTTGTACCTTCTTGCTCTTTCCCTCACCCTCACCCTCATCCTGTCTTTGTTTTCCACTTCTGTCTCTCTCATCTCTTAAGCCCTTGGCCTCCTGATGATCTCAGGATCTAGGTCTTCCCAGCTTTTCTCACAGATGGAGCCATCAGAGCTGGGGTGGGGGAGGAAATGCATGCTGCCCCTCCTCCAGGTTCCCCAGATGAGAGCCAGCATGCCCCAAACCTGGAGAGATAAACAGGGCTCAAGTATGGCACAGATTCCAGGTACCCCCCCCCTCCTTCTGTGTTAGAAGCTGATCAAGATCTCAGACTTTCCCCTTTCAGAAAGCAGCAGTCAAGTCCCCCCGCCCATCTGGATGGCCCCCAGGAGCCTCCACATGTCTACGGCCTGGCATCTTCCTGTTCTTCCTCCTTATCCAGACTTTTGGCTTTTTATGCTATGTGAATCTTAGGTGGGTCTTCCACGAGCAGCACTTCCCACCCTACTCAACATCACTTGGTTCTGGGTTACAGCTATTCAATTTGCAAGGGGGACCCTGAGGCCCAGAAGGGAGCTGCCCAGTCCTCCAGATGGCAAGGGGCAGAGCACAGGCTCAAACCCATACTTTCATCGGGCACAGACCACCTGCTTAACCCCCAGCCCCATCTGGTCCTGGTCCTCCTAGCAACCAATAGTCACACCCTAGATGATCAGCACTATAAATGGCAGGAAGCTCAGGGACTTCAGGAAGTACAGGAGAAAGCACTTGATAGAGCTTGTGAAGATCAGGAATCTGGTCTGAAAAGGACATTTGATAAGGGTCATTAAAGTGACTAGGAGTTTCCCAGCATGACAGGATGGGTAAAGGCATGGATGCATAGAGAACAGCATGGGGAAAGGCATGGGGAAATGAAAAAAGCATAATATTTTGGAGAAAAAAAAATGATAATTCAGTACTATTAGTGAAAAGAACAGGACCAGTTTGTGAAATTGATAATTGAAAAGGCAGGGGATGTCACTATTTCTGCTTGATGGGTGTTTGCTGAATGGATGAGCGCTGGTCCGACTCTTTTCACCAAAAGTACTGAATTATCATTTTTTTCTCATTTAGAGATGCAGATATGCTGAGGGCCCTGGACAAGGGACTGACAGTCCTTGCTGGGGAATCTCAAAACAAGAATTAGTGTGGGCTTGGATGATCCCAGGGAAGGAATAAAGTGTGCTGAGCTTTAAAAAGCACAAAGTGGAAACAATCACAGGCTTCCTGGTGTACAGAAGGGCAGTGGTAGCAATAAACCACCCAGATGGTCCTTAAATGCCAAGGGGAAATATGCCCTTCATGTGACATGCTAAGGGAGCCATAGAAGATCCCAGAGCAAGAAAGGTTGTGGTGCAGTGAATGGAGGAAGGCAACTGTGAGTCTTGGTTTCAAAAGCCCAGAAGAGGCTGGGTGCAGTGGTGTACACCTGTAATCCCCACAACTCGGGAGGCTGAAGCAGGGGGACCACAGGTTCAAAGCCAGCCTCAGCAACTTAGCAAGGCCCTAATAAATTTAGCAAGACCCTGTCTCAAAATAAATAATAATAATAATAATAATAATAATAAAGGGGTTGGGGATGTAGCTCCATCACTGGTCCAAAAAACAAAAACAAAAGCCTAGAAAGGAAAAAGTCAAGCAACCATCTTGTCTCTGCAGCAGGCAGGAGCTGGACAAGAGGCTTCGGGAGTGTTTGTCCACAGGAAACCTTCCTTTGGGTGCTGTGCCACACATCCCTAGGGTGCTGGGAACTCTGAGGAGGCAGCCCCTCTCCCCCAGCATGCATGCCTGACCCACTTCAAAGCCACTTCTCTCTGGGAAGCAGGTGGCTTCTGTGGGTGGGGAAGAGGACTTTGTTAGGATCCTCTTCCTCTTGGTGCCCAGCTATTGCCCACACCTTAGCTTTTGGTGAGCCCCACCTTATTAAAGGTGAATTCCCTCTTCTGCGTGTGTTGATATGCTCCTTTATCTCCAAGTCTAATCTCTCTGATGGCTTCCACCGCTTTGGGTAGGTAACCTGGAGTGGGCTCCTAGCAAGTAAGCAGGCCAAGGGCTCACTTACCTGCCCAAAGACCAGATACCCCACAGCCCTTCCCTCTTGACCAGGGAAGGAGAGGGAGTAACAACTGCATATAATTCCATCCCCAATTCACCCAGAACAAGGAGCGGTGTCTCCCAGTGCCCCTCCTGGCCCAGCCCTGCTAGCATTACCAAACAATCCTCTCCCTCTTCAATCCCTGCAGCTCGCGGACAGCAGGGCAGGCACGTGACTGAGGAACCCATGAATCCATAACTGGGATTCCCGCTAACGCTTTCGGGTCTTCCTTCCCAGTCCCAAGCTCCAGGGCCAGCAGGTTGCGGGGCTGGGGGGATTGGAGGAAAGAAGGATGGGGTGAGGTTTTGCCCCTTGCTGCTGTTTGGATCTCCCAGCTGAAATCCTGACTATCAGTGACCCAGGAGGGGAGTAGGTTGAAGGAGGTTAGGAAGCAGGGTACGCATCAGCGCAACCCCTGTCCCCGGAGGAGCGACCCCATCACCGCAGGCCCTAATCCGCTGTCAGCAGTGGCCAGCAGAGCTTGGCGTTGAAGGAGGCACGTGGGAGAGGCGGGAGTGAGGAGCGGGCACGTGGTCCAGCCTTCTCAGCCCCGTGCATGCCCCCCGCCCCCTGTGAGGAGGGGTTTGGGAAGGTAGGGGCGGGCCCGGGCGGGGGCGGGCGACAGGCGGCGCAAAGCGTGGGGCGAGGGCTAGCGGCGGGAGCTGTCCGCGGGACCTGGTGCTGAAGTGAGCGCGGACGTGCCGGAGCCCGGTGTGTGGTACCAGGCGCCTGGTGCCCCGGCCGGCGAAGACCATGGCGTTCATGGTGAAGACCATGGTGGGTGGCCAGCTGAAGAACCTCACCGGGAGCCTGGGGGGCGGCGAGGACAAGGGGGACGGGGACAAGTCCGCAGCGGAAGCGCAGGGCATGAGCCGAGAGGAGTACGAGGAGTATCAGAAGCAACTGGTGGAAGAGAAGTGAGTGGGATCCCTTCCCGGTTCCAGCGACCCCCACACATACACACAGCCGCTGTGCCCACCCTTGGGCCAATCTGGGGGCCCAACTTTCCTCCCCTGCCTTCCTACATGTGATAAGAGCCTGGGAGATGCCTTCTAGGCTACTCCCACAGCCACTGCTTCTCAAACCCAGGACCCTGCTCCAGCTTCTGTACTCTGGCCCAGAGGGCATAGGGGGAGGGGTGATCGGTGCCTGGGACAGGGAGCTGGGTGCACGTGCATTTCTGACGAAGCAAATAATCCCTTAATCCGATCTGGTCCTAGCCGCCTGTGTCTTCCAACTGGGGCTCCTTTGAGCCAGAAGCTCTGAGAAAAGCAGCACAGCAGAGGTGGTGGTGGGGGTGCTCAGAGTCGCGGAGACAGATCCTGAGATGGGAGCACCCATGGATATTGAGCCTATTGTGTTCCAGCAGTCCTGGGACACAGCGGAGGTGGGGGTGCAGTTAGGCTGCTTGGGTTCAGATCCTGGTTTTGCTTCTCATTAGCTGGGTAACTTTAGGCAAGTTACTTAACCTTTCTATGCCTCTTTTCCTCTTCTGGAAAGGGGGGATGGTCGTCATAATATATGCTTTATATATTCATGTAGATTAAATAACTTAATGCATGTAAATCATCTAGCCCAGAGCCTGGCACGTAGCAAATCTTCGTTAAATGTTACTTGTTATTTCACTTAATCCTAACAGCGTTGTGAATTACAATGTCTCATCCCCATTTTACAGACGAGAAAGGCAAGTGACTTACCTAAAGTCATACCCTAAAGTGGTAATGGAGCCACAATGGGAACTGAGATCTATTCCTAATATTTTTCCCCCTCATGACACAGTTTGTCAGGGAGGGAAAGACAGGCATGAGTCAGGAACGGCACAAATATTGGGATCTGCAGAGAGGGTTAGAAAGACTGATACCCCTGTTCAGTGGCGGGTGCAGAGTCCGCAGAGGGCACGATGATGGGGAAAAGCAACAAAGACCAATATAATCGGGTCAGGTCTGAGAGCCCTAGCTACGCACAGGCCAGCAGCTGGACCGATGCAGGTTGCTGCCAGTACTCCAGAGACCCCTTGGGGCCCTCGGTCGCAGACCCCGCCCCTTCTTTCAGTCCTTGCATTGACTCCACCCCGGTATCCTGGCAGGATGGAGCGGGACGCGCAGTTCACGCAGAGAAAAGCAGAGCGGGCCACGCTACGGACTCACTTTCGAGATAAATACCGACTGCCCAAGGTATGAGAGCTCAAGCTGTAAGAGTGGACCGCGCCCTGAGCTCTGGGCTTAGAACTCCTTGATCCACTCTGTGCGCCAGAGCTCTCAGCCCGTGAGACTCACAGGGTGCTTGGTTGAATCTTTTTCATTCATTTGTTCATTCACTCAGTTAACCAGCGCTGCCAAGAGTGAGGGCTTGGTGTTTAGGGGAAACCCAATCATCCAGAGACTGACAGGTTTGTGTCCCCAACCCTCCACCCCAATCAGGCCTGGCCTCAGAAGGAACAAAGGAGACAGAAAGTAGGCTTTACCACAGGAATGAGTACTCTCAGGCCTTCTGAGCATGCATGGAGGTTAGGCTGAAGAAGAGAAGGCCAGTGACTGATGTAAGAGGTACTTGGCCATGTTCTCACCTAATAACCTCAATAATGCTGCCAAGTAGCTATCACCCACATCTACAAATAAGAAAACTAAGTCTCAGAGAGATTAAAGGACTTGGCTAAGGTCATATAGCCAGTGAGAGATGGAGCTCATGCCTGTGAATACTGAGCCTGTGCTCAATTCAGGCCCTAAGGCTGTTTTCCTGGCATGGGGGTCTGCCTGCAGAGAGCAAAGTACCTCCAAGCAGCCAAGGTGTATTTATCAGGAGGACCCCTGTGCTCCTGTAAGCACTCAGCACCATAAGCATGCAAGTATGTTACTTCTGTAACCTAAGAAAGCAACCCAGGTATAAGCCACTTCCAGGATATCACCCTAGTGTGCCTGGAATAGAGCTAGACTGAAGGGCAAATAGAGGTAAAGTGCTATAACACTTCTGACCTTGATCTTCCACTTGAATTGAAAGATCAGTGAACATTACCTTCACTCATTCAATAAATGTTTACTGAGCCCCTGGCTGCCTCTGACTTCCCACAGAGCACCAGTCTTTTGGAAGTCTCTCAAAGGGAAAACCAATCCAAAAAGACTGCCTGGCTGCAAACCCAGCTAGGAATGGAGTCATTACTCAAATGATTGCACTGAGTATCTAAGAGACACAACTCCTGCTATTAGGGAACTCTGAGTCTACTAGAAGAGGCAAGACTTGGATGTGACTGAGTAGGACACATGGTCCCAATGCCTCCCACAGGGACAAAGAAGTGTACTAGCCATGGGCAGGTGCTGTGAAAAGACAGCATAGATGTTGGAATCAGTGACATAGATTTGAGTCTAGCTCCCCTGTTTCCTAGCTGTGTGGCCTTGGGAAAATTACTTACTTAAATTATCTGAACCTCTATTTCCTATTTGTAAAGTGGAGACAAGAGGAACTACCTCCTAGATACTTTTTTATTGTGAGAATTAAAAGCACCCCAGCTCAACATTAGCCATATAACAGGAGTTATTAAATGGTACCCATCGCTATTATTGGTTATGTCCTTTGGTGGTGTTAACAATAGTCAGTACATGACAGTTGATTTTAACAGTGTGACTCCTAGGCATTTTCATTTTCTCTTTACTCAGTATGCTAAGTCCTTCAGTGTCTCAGAGTGAAGTAAGGCAGTATGAAAGTGCAAGGCCTCCAGGTCCATGCATCAAATGCTTGACCCTGGGATGTTATGGGTAGAGGAAGAGCTCACTAGAACACGGGGCTCAAGAATCTAGGGACCTGAGCTGGGGGCGATGGTGCACACCTATAATCCCAGTGGTTTGGGAGGCTGAGGAAGGAGGGTTGCAAGTTCAAAATCAACCTCTGCAACTTAGTGAGGCCCTAAGCAACTTAATGAGAACCTGTCTCAAAAAAAAAAAGGTGGGGGGAGGGCTGAGGCTATGGCTCAAGGACTGGAACCCAGTCCAGGTTTCTTTCCTGATACTTCAACTCTGAGTCCTCACAGACCTGCACCTCCACCCTGCCCCCTCTTCCCTTCAGAACGAGACAGATGAGAGCCAGATCCAGATGGCAGGTGGAGATGTGGAGCTACCCCGGGAGCTGGCCAAGATGATTGAGGAGGACACAGAAGAGGAGGAGGAGAAGGCCTCAGTCCTCGGGCAGCTGAGCAGCCTCCCAGGCTTGGACCTCGGCTCACTTAAGGACAAGGCCCAGACCACACTGGGGGACCTCAAGCAATCAGCTGAGAAGTGCTACATCATGTGATCACTTCCCCTGGGTTTGCCCATTGGGATGGCCAGAGGGCTGGTCCACATAAGGGCTAAGAGTGTGTCTCAGTTTCCAGGGATCTATATCCCATTTTGGGCTTTATTTCCCTTGCCCTAATCTAGCCTCAGAACCCTTCTCATCCTTGCCCTAAACCTGACTTCTAGTGCCTCCCTTCCCACTGGGAGCAAAGTTTCCATTCCTTTTTCTATCCTTTAGGACCCATCCCCCTTCTCAGCCTGGGGAGGCCACCCAAGATTATAGATATATGTCCATCCCTCTCTGGCCCCCAAGTTCCTGCACACAGGAGCATTCACAAAGGGACACAATGACCCTGCCATGTTGGCCACAGATAACCCTGGCACACAAAGACACACATCCCCTGGGTTCCTAGCCCCACCAGCCACCACCCCTCAGATGCTCTCAGAGGAGGGCTATAGGAGATGCCCTAGCAGACAGGAGGCCTGCATTCCAATCTCCATCTTTATTGTCCTTGAAGGCCACTGCTCTTTCAGGGCCTATTTCATCATCTGGAAAATGGGAACAGACTGGATGATTCCCAAGATTCTATTTGGCTTTGCATCCCTGGCCACTCCAGCTGAGCCCACACTCCTCCTTGGGCAGGGCCGCAGCTGCAGTCAGAGCCTCAAGCAGCTGCCACTGTGGGCTCTGGGAGCTGAGCAATGCTGGGTAAGGGGCGAAGTGCCAAGGATGGAGCTGGCATCAAACGGTAGCCCAAGCAGCTCCAGGCCTTCTCTGGGCCCAGGGCCCAGCCAATTTCTGTCCTGTTCCTGTAGAACTCTCTGTCTGGATTCTATAGCTGGAATCTCCTCTCCTAGCTCAGTGAAAAATAAAAATTTCAAATGTCATGGTTCTCTTTTCACTTCTTACTGATCTTGAGTCCTGGAGCTCATAGCCCCAAGCCCGCCCTGAAGGGGCATCCTCTATGCCTACCTGAGTGGCACAGTGGGGAGGACACATTCAGTGCCAGGAGTGGAAGGGTCTTGTGAATGGAAGGGAACTGCTCCACCGCCAGCCCCTATAAGATGTTCTAGTTCTACCCTCCCAGGGCCATGGGTGAGAGTGGGGGGCTGTACTGACCCAGTAGCCTGGGGCAAGATGAAGTAGGACTGGGCTCTGGGCTTTGAGGGGGATGTGATGGCCATCGGGGGATATATGTGGGAAGGTGGGGGCCTTCAGGTCATTACCTGGGTCCACAGGAACTGCCACAACTCAACCACAGCTTTCTCTGGCACCTATGCCTACTACCCTTTCCTCACTTAGGAGATGGAGGATGTAACAGAAAGAAGCAGGGAACCTGTGCTCCAGCCTGACTATCATGTGGCTTTGAGCAGGCTCCCTTCCTCTCTAAGCCTATTTGCCCCTGTAAAAAGAAGAGTCCCACCACCCTAAAATAACAATAGCACAAGTTTCAAAGGGTGACTTTTTTCTCTCTCAGGGGTCCTGTGGATCAAGCGCCAGAGCTCAGGCATACTAGATAAATGCCCTACCATTGAGCTACAACTCCAGCCCTAAAGGATGACCATTTGTAAAGCCCTTGACACATGATAGGCCATATCAATAAATGGGGAGCTGGGGTTGTGGCTCAGTGGTAGAGCGCTGGCCTCGCAAGTGTGAGACCCTGGGTTTGATCCTCAGAACCACATAAGAAAAAATAAACAAAATAAAAAGATATTGTGCCCATGTATAAATAAAAATAAATAAATAAATAAATAGATGGTAACCCATTATTTAAAAACAGGAGAGGGGTGGGTCCTGAGGTCATGTGACACTTCCTAGTTGGGCAGGCAAAGTCAGTGGGAAGGCTCCCCTGGCACCCTCAGGCTCCTGAGGTGGCCTGAGATGAGGCAGAAAGCTGGTCCTGTTCCCAAGCTCGGTATATTCAGGAGTTTATGCTTAGGCAGTGAAGAATGCTTTTGAATTTTTTAAAACAACAAAAAAATGAAGAGCCCAAATGTCATCCTGCTCACCTTTGGTGCCAGGGATAGGTGGAGCAGAGGGTCCTGGTGACTCCTGGAAGCTGCCTGAGCGAATGGGTCACCCTGGGCCGCCTGCAATGAAGGAAGGAAACACTGCAGGCAACCCAGGGTGCCCTCCACCCTGAAGCTCAGGTCCGCCTGTGGGAAAGCCTCCTGAGGGATGGTTGTCAAGGTCAAAGTTCCCATTAGGCTCCCTTTGTAAAATAAGAACAAGGAACACAAAACACGGGCAGTAGGTAATGTGGGGGTAGGAGAGGGGAGAAAGAAGGTGAAGAGCTGGGAGTGGGAAGTACAAGGGACCCAGGCCTGGAGTGGAGGCAGAGCTGCTTAGGCTATCACATGGGCCTCGCCCTCCTGAGCAGCTCCCAGGAGACCCTGGGGAAGGGCCCCCCAGCTACTGCACACAAACCCCTTCTGACTTTCCCTGAGCTGGAGGAGCCCCAAGCCAGGTGTGGGGGGTGCGTGGGCTGCCTCAGTAGCGTCAGCAGCAGGACCCACGTCAGCACTCCGCGCTCCAGGGGCCTTCTGCCTAATGAGATCGGACAGCCCCCTTCCCCCTCAGTGCTTTGCAGGGCCAAGAGCCAGCCCGGGGTGTCAGGCAGCGTGTGTGTCGGGGGATGATTGGGGGACACTCGATGAACCCTGTCAAAGCAGGGCTGTTTGGTGCCTGGAGTCAGAAAGTGGGAGGGGACTGACCCTCCACACTGGCTCTCCCCTCACATCTTGGGAATCCCAAGAAGCCCTGACCTGTCTGCACTGTCCCTGGAATGGAGTAGAGGAGGCTACCAGGCAAAAGGGTCCAGTTCTGTGATAGGGCAGGCTGAGGGCTCTCTGCTTCTGCTGGCCTTGTCCTGTTTGCCTGTCAGCTCCTCGCTCTGGGTTTCTCTCTCAGTCTGTGTTGCTCTCCCCTGTGTACTCTTACCCTCTACCTCATTCCTGGCTCAGTGCCTGTCCTGTACCCGTCTTCCACGGGGCTTACGGGTCAAGCTGGGGCCTCTCCTCCCAGGCCCTCAATGCATCCACTTCACTCTCTTCCTATCCCGTTTCTATACTTTCTTACTGTGGACAATCACATGCTCCCACCTGGTGTGATGTAAAGGCCACAAAGAAAGCTACCTGCCACCAAAACTTCCCTTCCACAGTGCCCCAAACCCTACTACTATAGCATCATAGTTTGGAGCCTGATGCTCTGTGCCGTCTCCTTTCCACCTACCCTCCTGTTCTTTCCCCCTTTTTCCTTCTTCCCCTTGCAGGCAGGTGGTAAGAAAGCCCTTCTGTCCTCACCTCCTACCACATGCTTTTTCAAGGAGAGAGGGGAGGTCAAGATGGATGGCCTCCCCTCCCACCATTCAAGGGCTCTGACTCCACCATACAAAGGATTTTGGGAAGATTGATGGCGCCCCTGGGCCCTACCTAAGGAAACTCCAGTCCCCTTCTGCCTTGACCATTCAACCAGTCAGCCCAGACCCAGTTCCCAGTGGGAGGAGGGGTGCAGAAAAACAAGTGACTTTCTGGAGGCCAGATGGTCCCCAGAGAGGAGTTGGGAGGGTGGCTGGCGTTTGGAGCGCGTGGGATTTCCCTTTCCCCAACATCCAGATGGTCCTCCTCAGACACTGGAGGCCATAGGCAGGCACTGGGGACATCTGGGGCATGCTCACTTGCTAAGCCAAGCTGCTGACAATGCCTATTGACCCAGCTGATGCTCAGGCCTGGGAGGTGGGAGCTTCTGTCCCCCATCCCACAGACCTGAGGCTGCAGTGGGAGTGGGGAGCCACAAAACTCGCTGCTCTGCCTCGAACCCAGTACCCATCAGGCATCATCATCCTGAGTCTGTATGAGGCGTGAGGAGTCTGGGTGGCCTGCGTCCAGAGGAGCAGCAATGTTAAGGCTGCCTCAGTATCATCCAGCAAGAGCCATTCCCATGTGTGACCAGGAGTGGAAGTCTGTGTGGGGATCTTCAGGCATCTGTGAATTTGGACATGGCTTTCCGGTTTTGTATCCATGGGATTTCAAGTGTGTAGGTGTGGGTGTGTTACTCTGGGGGAGTATTCATTGATGCTCTCCATCCCTCATGCCTCAACCTCATGAGGCCATCTCTCTCAGGAAGGGCTTGGATGCTGAAACAGCATCCTGGCCTCTGTGGACAAGAGTTTTTCTAGATAACTTCCTGTAGGGATCAAGATTCTATATCCTTTTGTATCCCCGGAAGCCAAATAATAGGCAAACTGGGTACAAGGACACCTGGCACCCTCAATCTGCTCTAGAAGTGGCCCTTGGGAGCAGAAAGGTCCCCAATTGGCCTGGTGCTGGCTTTGACCATGGGTGACTGTGAAAGTGGGAGGATAAGGCACGGTGAGACCTGGACACTGCTGAGGGGCATTTGCACTGTGTTGAAAATGAGAGGCGAAAACAACCTGCTCCAAAGAGCAAAAGTATTCGAAAAGTCAATTTGTAGGTTTCTCACGTGTCTTCCATTAGAAGAAAGGCCCTACAGAGAGCCTACCTCCTCCCTTGCCTCTAGCCTTCAGACAGGACTGCCTCCATTGTAGGTGGCTGGCACACAGGACCAGCCTGGACCCATCCACCTAATGGTTTGCCCAGGGAGAGCACCTTCCCAGGGCCTGAAGCTTCCAGGCATCTCCTGTACCTAATTCTTCATATGGGCCCACTCCTCTCCATACCCACATTGTCTAAGAATTTGAGGTTCCTGTTCTCCATCACTTGATATAGATATCAGAAATAACAAATTGGGTGGGATCAGTGAGCCAAACCTCTCCCTCCCAGCCCATCTTCCCCATTTACCCACCTAAAATGTCCATTCATTCCCCTCCTTCCACCTATTGCAGTCTTTTTGTCTGGTCCATTTTCAGAGATAACCTGAAATGTTTCTCTCCCTAGATCTGAAAATAACATTTTATTGAATTTACCATATGCCAGGCTGATGTATACTACCTCATTACATACTCCCATGGGGCACATTTCTTCATCCTCATTTTATGGAGAATAAACAGGCTAACTGATGGGTCCCAAGCTTCCCAGCCAAGATTTTAGCCAGCTCCTTCTGCCCTGTGGTACTGCTCTAGAGTGCCCTCCAATGGCCAGGTCAAAGGCTTCAGGGGAATTAGTTCCCTGCTCCATTCCCCGTATCAAAAGCCATTGAACTGTTGAAGACAACAGCTTGGTATCACGAAGTCTGAGGAACAGCTTCTGGGTGGCTGCTTTGAAGCGCTCTACCATACTCTTAAACTTCAAGGACACTCCTAACAACAGCTGGTCAGATCAAGAGTACAGAATCTGCTGGAAACTCCTGCTTGAGGTTCTGGGAGCTAGACATGAGATCAAGACATCTAAGAATGTCCTTTTCTTCAATCCAGTCAATGCTTACTCACAGGCCATGCATAAGGGGCTCTAGGGCGCCCACCCTGGCTGGGGGAAAGTGTGTGGTATAAAGGAGAGAGCATCTGAGGACTGCCACCAGCCCCAAAACAGAGCTCCAAGCAAAGGGGAAAGGGCCTTGCCAGGCTCCCAGGCCCGTGCTTCCACTTCCCACTGGCAGGAATGGCAGCAGTCAGCTCTTCTGGATTCCCAGGAGGCTGTGAGCAGGAAGCAGATGTGCCTACCACTCCCTGCAGTGATCTCCCTAGCCCTACTCTCAAGGCTCCCCAAATTTCCTGGCCTCCTCTAACCTCGGCAGTGAGCAGGGCTACCTCTCCCTATTTTCCCTAGGGCAAGAAGAGATGCACAAGTACCCAAAATAATTTAATAGAGAAACAATTGCAGTCTTTACACCCAGTCTCCTGCAGAGAAGTCAGCCAACACTTAAGAAGGCTTTTTTGTGTGTGTTTAGTTCTAGGAATTTAGAC